CAGCAACAAAGACATATGAATTTACGATGTCCTTATGTCGACCCTGCCTATGTAAGCCTTATCAAGACGTTACAGTGGGATAAATCTAAATTAACTATCACTTCGGTTGGCTATTACTTTAGCTTTTCGAGTGTAGCACCAGCAAATACGTCTATTCTTCTCAAAGAAATATTACTGATTATATAAAACTTTACTTACATTTCTTTTTAACTCTATCGTATTAGAGGAGAGAAGAATATAAAGATGTGAAAGCAGCAACACAAAAGTAACATTTTTTAAATATAGATCTCTTAATAACTTTCATAAAACTTCATAGATTAAATTTAAACTTCTTCTAAAGATCATAGATACTAATTTGGATTTTGATTTAGTCAATTAGAAATGTCATTTACCTACAAACCAAATAAGAAAAAAATATGGAAAGATATAGGAGAAAATTGAATCGTTATCCTACTGTATATGTTGTCGCTGTCGACCAACAAGTTTGTAACCGTTTCGTGGCTACTTACCTACAGTCTGCTGTTGTGATCCCTGATATTTATACTATTATTCATTTTGACAGATAAATACGAATACGACGTAAGAATTTCCCCGTGATCTTTTGGTCTTTCGAAATGCAATAATTCATCATGCCAATAAAAATAGGTTATCTTAAATGATAAATTTCATTTGCTGACCTCTTCACGCTGAGTTCTCTCATAGTCAAATTATTATAGGCTAAAACGAATAGCTCGTAGCCAATCACGTTACAATACAGTCAAAGACTATTCGTTTTAGCCTATAATAATTTGACTACGAGAGAAATCAACCTGAAGAGGACAGTAAATGTGCTGACGAAACGTTGCTGAATATAATTAAAATTAAGTGAATTTCCATCTCTCACTATTTCCCTTCTTTCTATTATTACAATATTTAACATTTAAGAAAACTATAAGGGAATCAAGACAGTAAGTTACGTATTAAAAATGGGTTATTTTGTATTAAAAAGTAGAGAGCAGTATAGCCATTTTTACAGTGAATTTTTATTTGACAAGCTAACATATATAAGAATATATAACATGGTATATCTTAGATAAAGACATTATTCTTTTTACGTAACAATATAATAATTATTATAATACACCTGATTAGTTTAAAGGAATAATGTCTTTAACTTTTCACACGGCAACACAAAAATATTAAATGTGGATTTCCCAAAATTTCTATCCATAGACACTACATATTTTAAAGAAAATTATCTGTATTTTCATACAACGAATATGTAAAATACGTGCGAGTTAATGCCATATTTCAAAGTCTTAATCAGGCCCAGTAACTATACTTTCTTAACAAAAACTTGATAGTTTAGACGTTTACCTGAATCACTCCAATTTTGTTTTTAAATTACACTTATTTTATCGTAAAGTGACTCTTTGACGAGTATTTAAAAAAAATTAGTTTTCTACGATTTCTTTTGACTAAGTTATGCCATTTTTAAGATAATACTGTATTTTTCATAAATACTGCCATTAATTAACCCAATTCGTACCGCGGAGAGGTTATTGGTCGGATTTACGCATCATTTTGGCACTGAAAAGGGCTGATTGTGTGCACTATTTCTCAAATCAGGGATCACGCGGCTCACTACTTCCTCAGTATTTTCTGACTCCAAACCTTATGCGCTTTAGGCATTCAATACCGTGTATTGCCACCTCGACGACAGACAACCCCTCTCAATTTTCCGGGTTTTTCCACAGGAAATGGGAAAATTTCGCATGCGGATTCGTGATCAGACTGCGTTTCTCTTGCTTCCTGATACCATTTTCTTGTCCTATAAAGACGGAAAAATCGATATCGGCGACGAGGTTACGATTTTTTTCTGAGAGAATAGAGTACATATGTAACAATTGAAAATTACAAAAACATTCTTAATCAAATTGCCTCGATTAATTGCAATTGAATCTACCCAAATTGTTACCGTGCTACAAGCCGGACGAGCTGAGTCCAAACGAAATATTAAGATTAATAAGGATTCATCGTGCGACGATGTAATGTGTTTTTAGTTAGTATGAAGAAACGGGTTCTTATCGCCTGAGACATGGCCATGGTCGACGTAGAATAATTAGGAATCGAAAATATCGTGACATTATTAATAAATACCTACATAATCCAATAAAGGTTGCGCGAGAAATCGGGAATAATTCTTAACCAGGCAAATAAATTAGCACTCAGACGATAAAAAGATACCTTCAAGAAAAAGGTTTAAGATCATGAATTCGTGATAGCGTGCCTATGTTAAGAGCAATTCGACAACAAGCTCGCCTGTGTTACGCTCGCAGTTATCGAAATTGGACAACTAAACAATGGAGAAATGTGTTTTTTAGAGACAAATCTAGATTTGTCTTTTTATGGAAATGATGCTAGAATTCGAAATTGGCGACGTAGACGAGAGGGTTTTAAAACAAATCACGTTAATCTAACTTAAGCGTTTGGTGGAGTATCTATTATGGTATGAGGTGAAATATCAATGAACCATCGATCAGATTTAGTGATTTTCTCACCCTCAGGACGAACAAGGGATCGTTACATAAAAGAAATTTTGCATTTTTTCATAATTTCAATGTATTGCCAAATGAGCCGTAATTTTATATTGATGCAGGATAATTCACGCTTTCATACTGCAAAAAGAACTCATAATTACTTGGAAGAAAATAACGTACAGATTTTGCCTTATCTACCTAATAGTCAAAACCTCAATTCTATAAAACATATATAGGACGTGAGGTCTAGACGATTACGTAACATAGTATGACCTTCCGCTAACCTCCAAGAGCTTAAGAGAATTCTAAATCAAATTTGACACGAGATACTCGAAAATTTTATCAGAGCATGCATTAATATGCAAGAACGTTTAAGAGAGATTGTTTGTCGTCGAATTGGCAATACACGGTATTAAATGCCTAAGGCACATGGGGCTTGGAGTTAGAAAATACTGTGAAAGTGACGAGCTGTGGGGTTCCTGATTTGAGAAATGGTTCACACAATCGGCTCTTTTTAGAGCTAAAATGATGCGTAAATCCGACCAACAACCTTTTCGCGGTACGCATCGAGTAATGCTAATTAATGGCAGTATTTATGAAAAACACAGGATTATCTTAAAAATGGCAAAACTTGGTCAAAAAAAAATCGTAGGAAACCGATTATTTTTTAAATACCAGTTAAAAAGTGCACTTTACGACGAAGTATGTGTAATTTAAAAAAAATTTAGAGTAATCCAGGTATAAGTCTAAACTATCAAGTTTTATAAGAAAGTATAAGATAAATATAATTACTGGACCTGATTAAAATATAGGAATGTGGCATTAACTCGCACGTATTTAACATATTCTTTGCATAAAAATACAGATAATTTCCTTTAAAATTAAACGAAAATCAACACAATATGATGAAAATTAACGGAGTTACAAGCATTTAAAAGATGGCAAGTTATTGATGAAAAATTTTGTTGTAATAATTTTGTTTTGTAGTGTGTTCGAATAATTATTGGCAACTTTTTTGCTAACAGTTATTTGAAAGTACAAATTTTATCAATATCGTTTTTTAATCCAAAAAGTCCGGTCCGCTATGATTGTACATTTTCAGTGTGTGACGAGAGCAGACCGTGTGCCGGTTTCTCGTCTGTGTTTCTCCCTCCTTCTCCACTCGGCAAGGCGTGGTGACCAACGTTGGGCGCATTAAGGTATGCGCCTAACACTTGGCCTTTTTGTTTCAGCCGCAAGGACGGGCCAGTGCAATTGAGCGCAGAAAAGTTGAAGAGCGCGGAGAAAGTGAGAAAGAGAGAGAGAGAGAGCGAGCATTAGGCCTATGCAGGGATAGGCAGGAGCGCGACGCGTGACCGATAAGCGGCGCGTCGCGTGCCGCCTAACTAATAGGTCAGGAAGGGATAAGAGCGAGCGCCGCTGAGCGGCCGCGAGACGAGGGAGAGAAAAATAATGCGTGCGCGAGTCCAGTCCAGTTAGAGTGCAGTGAGTGCAGGTTTTGGAATAGTTGGAAGGAAGGCCAGCTCTACCAGCAACAGCTTCATCCTCGATTATGGCCAGTCCCGCTTGCAAGGAGAACCGACGTCGCCTGCAGATTTTGGGTCTACAACCTCGACCGACGTGTCCTGCAGATCTTAGCCAGCAACTACGGCCAGCATCGTTCGGCAGTAGTCTGACCAGCAGCGACGACCGACACTCCCTGCAGCAGTGCTTCGTTACAGGTTCTCTACGTTGCGAGGAACATTAACAAAAAAAAAAGGTCAAACCTTCTTTTCTTCTTTCTCTTTACACTTTTTGTCTCTCTGGTGATGCGACGACCGGTGCGCGTTGAATAAGATAGCCAGGCATTCACGTGCCGGCTATCTGAAGGTTCGTGCTTAAGTTTAATTTGTATTAGTGTCAATTGCGACCGGCGAATTGTCCAGTCGCCCACGTCCCGGGCAATTCATCCGGTATAGGTTCGCGTAATTTTTAAGTAAATCTGTAATAGGTTAAGTGCGCGATTAGGTATTTGTTAGGATGAAATGCGAAATATTGATTTGTGATTATCTTAAGTAGTTTACTGTTCTATTTTGTAGTTAGTTGGTCAATAATTAAATTATGTTATGCGCGCGTATGTTTATGTAAATACGTATTAATAATAGTAGGTTGTAAGTGCGATTTGATTTCTGTCTTTACATAATTTATTTATTGACCTTCCCTCTCTTTTCTCCCTCTATTACCGTGAGCGAAAGTGCCTCACTTACCCCGCAAAAGAATTGGTGACAAGGAGAGAGCTTTGTCACAAGTATGTAACTTTCTTCACTCGTGTTCTTCAAGAAAGTACTGAGCCAGCGTAGTTGGAAGTGTTTTATTTTTGTACTTATAAATAAAGGTTAATTTAAGAGGATTGTAAAATTGAGAAATATTTTAAGATTTATGTGCTATATCTTCATTTTCTACGAAACACCATATATATTTATTTTTCTTTAAAATTTATAGGTGGTCGCCAATTTAATAGCCTTATGGATTTAATTGCTTATTACACGCATTGCTCTGACTTATTGAAGAAAGAACGTCTTATACATCCTATTCCACCTCCAGAACCAGTAAATGATAAAAAAAGAATAGTAGCTATATTACCTTATACAAAAATGCCGGATACTGATGAGTTAAGCTTTCAGAAGGGAGACATATTTTTTGTGCATAATGACATGGGTGACGGTTGGCTTTGGGTAACTGCACATAGAACTGGAGAACAAGGTCTAATTTTTAGAGAATTAGTTGAAGATTTAGATGATTCTATAGACCCTAACACCGTATTTTCTTGGTTTCATCCAAATGTTACTAAAAGTGAAGCTGTGGATATGCTCGTAAAAGCTGGACCTGGAAGTTTTTTGGTGAGTATTACAGTAGCAAAATGTCATTGTTATATGTGATGATTACGACTGCAATATCGATGAAATGCTACTGCTATATTTGCTAATCACTATAAAGAAATGTTATCAGCACGAAATTGGAAAGAATCTTCCATTTATATATAAATATCTCCATCTTAAAGATATCTATATGATAAATGTAAGACTACTGGGATAATGTAATTGAGTTATTGGGTTCTAATTATTTTATTGGGCTTCTATGTAAGTATTATAATCAATCAACATTACTACATAAAGAGCCTAACCGGATAAGTATGTCAAAAATGCTTTTGACGATATCAGGATATGGATTAAGAGAACTTTTTGTTATTAAAAGTTATGACTTTATCGCTATTTTTTCGATTTATAAGTGCAACGAAAAAAATATTACTTCATATTTCTTGTGTCAAAACCAATACGAGGGTGGTCCGATAAGTACTTAGCCTACAAAAGAAAAATGAAAATTTTGGAAAAGTGGCGTTTTATTTTTAAACATAGTCTCCTTTTAGTTCGATACACTTGGCCCGGCAATGCTCCAACTTCTTTAACCCGTCTGAAAAATACGTTTCCTCGAGGTCTGCAAAGTAGGCTTCCGTGGCAGTGATTACCTCCTCATTCTACTTAAATTTCTGCCCGGCGAGTGACTTTTCCAAGTTTGGAAACAAAAAGAAGTCGCACGGGGCTAAATCTGGAGAATACGGTGGATGGGGCAACAGTTCGTAGTCTAATTCGACCAATTTGGCCATGGCGACGGCGGAGGTGTGAGCCGGTGCGTTGTCATGGTGGAAGAGCACTTTTTTCTTCGCCAAATGGGGCCGTTTTTTCTGCAATTCGACGTCGAATTGGCCCAATAATTCGGCATAGTATAGCCCTGTGACCGTTTTGCCCCTCTCCAGGTAGTCGATGTAGATCACACCTTGTGAATCCGAGAAAACGGTGGCCATCACCGGCCGATGGGGCAGTCTTCGCCTTCTTCGGAGCACTTTCGCCGGGTAAAGTCCACTGTTTCGACTGTTCCTTGGTCTCTGGTGTATACCAGTGGATCCATGTTTCGTCGACTGTCACGAAACGACTCAGAAACTCCTTTGGATTACACTTAAATAGCGTCAGACATTGCTCTGAAGTTGTCTCACGGTTGCGCTTGTTGTCCGGAGTGAGCAAACGCGACACCCATCGCGCCGACAGCTTTCTCATGCCCAAAATTTCATGCAGGACATGACCCACGCTGTCTTTTGAGATGCCTACGATTAGCTATCTCGCGCACCTTCAATGGTCGATCTGCCAATACGAGATCGTGAATTTTTGTCACGTTATCCTCCGTGGTAACCGTTTTCGGAACACCTGGACGTGGTTCTTCAAAAATCGACGTGCGACCACGTTGAAACTCGTTAAACCAATTTTTGACGGTCGCCATCGAAGGAGAAGAGTCACCGTACACAGCATCCAAGCGCTTCTTGATTTCGCTGCGCGATTTCCCTTCCAAAAAGAAGAATCGAATCACCGACCGATACTGCTCTTTTTCCATTTTTCAAAAATCAACAGACACACTTGCTTTCACACGCTCTCAAAAATAAACTACAACTCCGATCCGGCTGAAATCTTGACAGTAACCATCGAGAAGATTGTACTGCGTGATAGAATATTTCTTTTGCGAGAGTGGTGCTATCGGGTGGTGAGGCTAAGTACTTATCGGACCACCCTCGTATGTAAAAATTTTAGATTTTTAAAATTAGTGGAAGGGATTTAAAATAATTAAAAAGCTCATTTTTAACTCTCAGTTTATAAAAAATTTATTTTAAAATCATTGTTTATTTTGTAGAGTATGTATCCAACGTGCTGTATAACATTGGTAGTGTGTTTACAAATATAGTGAAATCTCTACTATCATTAAATCAAGCATGTCTTTTCAAATAGTTCTGTACTTTTGATTACAAAAGTATCAGTTGGTATCAATCTCTTTGAGTGTGTGTAACTACGTATTTTTTATTATCTGTGACCATCGCGAAATCTAAATTTCGATCGTGTGACCATCCCGAAATCTAAATCGCGATTTCTCGTTACTTGATCGTAATAATATTATTGCACTTTACCAAATCAATTTGAGTCGTCATACTATTACAAAAAAGTTAAATATAGATCGGCCTACAGTCGTTTATAATATTAAGAAATTTTTTGAAAAAGGTAGTGTAGCAAGTAGATGCTAAAAAAGAAGAAGAAAAAACTTCTGCAACAGAAGACAATTATATTTGTTAAAAAGTTGGCTATATCGAAGAAAAACAACTTCCGAACTTACTGCCGACGTTAATGAACATTTACTAATCCGTATAACTGTGGATACAGTGGAAAAATAATTGAGAGAGAAAGGACTATTTGGTTAAATTGCAGCTAAAAAACTTCTACTGCATGAAAAGAAACGTTTACATTGGGCAAGAGCCTGTAAGAACTGGGCAATTGACGATTGGAAAAAAGTTCTTTGGTCTGATGAGTAAAAAATTTCAAATATTCCAAAGTAGGAAAAGAGTTTATGTAAGAAAAAGAGTCATCGAAAAGGATATGATAAATATTTATTTCGTAGTGTAAAGCACGGTGATGATTCAATCATGATTTGGGGTTATTTTGCTGGTTTAAAAATAGGCGATCTCGTAAAAATTGATATTGGGTTATTGGAAAGAAAGAATTGAAGAAAGATTGAAGAAAGAAGGCTACAACAAAATTTTACAAAATCATGTAGTGAAATCAGGATTGCGATTAGTCAGCCGAGAATTTGAACTCCAACAAGACAATGATCTTTAACATACGTCAAGATTGTGTAAAAATTATTCATCAAATTAAGAAAAGCAAAAAAGTTAAAATGTATGCAATGGTCACCATAATCGCCTGATTTAAATCCGATTTAACTACTTTGTGAAGAACTCGATCATTCTGCAATAAAATTCTGTCCAACTTCTGCAACTCATTTGTGGAAAATATTGCAACAAGAGTGGAAAAATATTCAAGTAAATGGATAAACTAATACCTGAATAACTGAATAAACTGATTACGAGAATGCCAAGGCTATGTAAAGCAGTAATCAAGCACAAAGGAGGATACTTTGACGAGAAAAATGTTTAAATTTTGTATTATAAATTGTATTTATTACGTGAATTTTTTTTATTAAAAATTTAATATTGCATTTACTTAAAATTGACGTATGAAATGTTTATCTAGTTTACTTTATTTTGTAGTCGTTACATTGAATTTATTTATTTTCTTCTTGTGTTAATGGATATAATATTAAAATATACACGCGTTAATTAAATACGAAGTGTGATTGTTAGTAGTTGAAGTTAATAATCTAGATGTCTTGTATAAATTTCTAATGTTATTATTTTATAGGAAATACACAAATTTCGTGAACAATAATATATGTTTTTATGGAAAACTTGAATCTCATCATTTTTATGAAGAAAATAATTTTGCTAAAACGGAAATAAAATGAAAAAAATATTTTATCAAAACTGTAACATTTAAAAAAATTTTTTTCGAACCGGGTATGGGGAAAAAACTTGAAAAACAATCTGAAAAAATTTGATAACATTCTACATAATAAAACAAACATATCTTATATAAATTATTTTCTATTATTGGAATTCACGGAAATATAGTGTTTTGAATAAAGCTGTCAATGTAAAGAAAAAATGCTTGTACGCGCGTCACAGTTGATGAAAAAAGTTTTTTAATGAATAATTCTGATAGAGCTTGCAATGAGTTATAAAATGCACTGTGTCAAATTTTTCTTATATCTTTGATCCTACATTTAACATCATTTCAAAGATAAAAAAAAATTTTTTTCAATGTACAATGTCAAAAAATCGTAAAAATTAAACAAACACTTTTATGTAGTTGTGAAGTACATATTTTGAAAGCTCTTAGAAAGAGCTTTCAAACAAGTCCTGGCTCATCTCTATACATTATTCCATACCAGAAATAAAAAACTAAAAAATTTGACTTATTTTGCCAGGAGAGGGAGGTAAAAGTACGTACCGGTAGTGTGTACACAGATCTCGAGGATTCGTCTACGCTGGATAGCTTTTTGAACGCTCTTTTCGCAAATGTGCAAAATCGTTTTCTCTTATTTACGAGGGTCGTTTAGTAAGTCCATGACTTAAAATATAAAAACACTATTTATTTAAGTAATTCCAATTTATTTACGTTGATAATACTATGTTGATAGTACTCTTTTAACTCTATACATTTATTATACCGGTGTTCAAGCTTTTTTATGCCCTCTGAAAAGTAATTTTAATCAAACTCCTCAAAATACTCATTTTTCACAGTAATTACCTTTTTATCGGATGAAAATAACCCAATAACCCGCAAGCCAAATTTTTATGTCAGGAAACAAAAAATAATCCGAAGTAGCCTATATATACATATATATGTATAATCTGGAGAACAAGGTGGAGGTGGAAGTATTTCATAGCGTAAATCAAATTTGATCGTAGCAATGGAACTCGTGTGAGCGCGTGTGTATTGTCGTAGTGGAAAAGAATTTTTTTACCAGACAGTTTTCCTTCAGTATGACATCAAAGCGATCTAATAAAAAAATAATATTCTCCTGTAATTGTTTCCCCACTCTGTAGGTAATTGATTAATATTACACTACTTGAGTCCTAAAAATTGTAGCCATGACTTTTTCGGCCGATCGTAGCGTCTTCGCTTTTTTCGGCACAAATTCTCTTGGCCCAGTCCACAATTTCGATTGATTTTTCGTTTCTGACGTATAGTAATGAATCTATGTTTCATCAACAATAAGGTAGCGTTGCAAAAACTCCTTTGGATTACTTTGAGACATGCTTAAACATTGTTTGGACACAACCTCATGAGCTCGCTAGTTATCAGCTATGAACAAGTGCGGCACCCATCTTGTAGACAACTTTCTCATGCCTAAACATTTATGTAAAATATTCCATGTGCATTCTACTTAAATATTAAGAGCCTCA